GCACTCAACCAGTGAGCGGACCGGTCTCTATATGGGATCCGAACCTTCGGCGGGAGCACCGCCGTGCTCCCAAGTGCCGCACTCTACCGAGTGCGCTACTGGGCCAGCCCATCTTTGGGACCTTCTTCAACGCTTTTCCCATATGCTACACAGCAGAGTAGAGGCCCATTCCTTTGAGGAGGGCAGGAACAATTTCCTGCCATCAGCTCAAATTAGCATCATGGCCCAAGCACAGAAAAGAGGATTCCAGTACAGTTGACCCTTGAACGCAGAGGGTTAGGGGCACCACCCACCCACCAATTGAAAAATTCACATGTAACTCCAGTTCCCAGGTAGTTCTCCTGAATCTGTTTCTCAAGGTGGCACACTTAAGCTTCTTTAAATAGTTCAGCTAATGTGATCAGCCCACCAGGTAGAATCAAAGTGAGAGATTCAGAAAACCCCATTTTCCTACAGAGATGGGAGAGGTTACCAAGCACTACTGGTCGCTACCCATATTAGAATCTCACTCGAGTCTCAAATGAGCAACTCTGTAACTGCATGAAGCAAATCTTTTCATTCCGATCCAGTGACTAGGAATGACTTCATCTGAGGATGTGCCACCAGTAAAGGTCCTGCATCCCCACCCTCACCCCAGCCGGAGACAAGGGGCCTCTGCTGGAGAGCTCAAGGCACTCATCTCTTTACAGGCTGAAACATAGTTGCTACCCAGTGAAAGGAAAGTAATTGGAAGTTGGGTGGGGAGGGGGATCCCTCCTGCCACTCTGAGCTAAGCTTAATTTAACTCCTCAGCAACTTTCAGGTTTTATTTAAATTCCCAGTGATAGATCTCAGAAAAACAGTTGACCGTTGAAAAACAGGGATTAGGGGCAGCATCCCCTGCCCTCCCCCCAGTCAAAAATCCACATATAACTCAAAAAATTTTTCCAATGTATTTTTAAAATCTGTTTAGAGTGGGCCGGCCCGGTGGCACACTGCTACAGTGCGCCGCATGGGAAGCGCGGAGGCGCTCCCGCCGAGGGTTCGGATCCCGCATGCAGACCGGCCGCTCACTGGCTGAGCGAGGAGCGGGGGCAACACCGAGGGTTGCGATCCGTTGCCGGTCACGAAAAAAGACAGACAAAAAAAAAAAATCTGTTTAGAGATGGGGGCTGTGGGCCTCAGCCGTGCACCTGCTACCCCACATCCAGGCCAGCAACAAAGCCAGCTCAATGCCCAGGGGTCCTGAGATGGGGCTAGGCCAGCCCCACCCCTTCCCACAACCAGATCCTAGACTATACTTATTAAGCATGTGTGTTTCCTTAGGGTGTGACATATCTGCTCATGTCCTTCACCAAATTCCTTAGATTTTTCTAATTCAAGAGTTCTTTTTTTGCAATAAGGATGTTAATCTTTGTGTATTTAAAAAAAAAAAAAGTACAATAATGGTTACCAGAGGCTGGGGGGCAGGAGGGGAGATTAGGGGTGCACTAATGGGGACAAAACTATGCTATCTACCCTAAGTGAATCATTGTGCAGGACTTGCATGCAAAGAAACAACACACTGTACCTCACAAAAATATAAAATTGAATTAGAAAAAAATCAGTGTATAAGTGTACCCACACAGTTCAAACCCATGTTGTTCAAGGGTCAACTGTATTTGGCAGCCACTGGCCTCCATATTCTTTTAAACAAAAGAATGCTGTTTTTACAGTTGTCATTTAACTCAAGTCAAGCAACTCATTTCTAAGGAAAAGAATTAATAGTGAACTTGAGTTCACTACTGTATTCTTTCCAAAAAGGACTTTATTGATATAGAACAGCAAAGGGGAAGACAACAAAGAACAGAGAGATCTGATGGTCTTTTAAAGTAAGGACCTTAACCATCCCTTTAGGGGCTGATGGGTCACCCCTACAAAGGTAAGTAACACAAACCCAAGGGAAGCGTCTCCAGCAGCCCTTCCAACAGGCACAGGACTGCCGGAGCTGGCCGTGGGAGAGGGTGCAACTTGCTTCAGCTTTTGCTGCCATTGTGCCCAATGACAACTGAAGAGACCCAAAGGGGGAGTGGAAACCTACGTACTAGGAAATCCCATAGTATCACCCCCTGCTGAAGGCCTGCCAGAGACTGCTCACTGCTTTTAACATCAAACCCAAATTGCGACCACGACCTGCCAGTCCCTCCCTCTCTTCACTTGCCAGAGCCACGTTGGACTTTCATTCCTTAAACACAACCACCTTGATCCCACCCTAGACCTTAATTCTTACTGGGTTTTTTCCCTAGAGCACTCTGCCCTCAGACTCTCACACAACTGGTTCCATTACTTGTTACAGGTTTCAGGGCCTTCCCTGACCACCCACAAGAACAAACACCTGCCTCGCCCAGCTCTAGCACATCACCCAGTGTGACTTCCTTCATCCCACTTAGTGAATCTCATGTGGTTACTGACTTATGGACTGTCTTCTCTTCCTGAAATCTAAGTTCTCTGAGAACAGAATCTTAACTCTTTTGTTGTTGTTGTTGTTGACTGGTAAGGGGATCGCAACCCTCGGCACGGTGTGGTCCGCACCGCGCTCAGCCAGTGAGTGGACCAGCCATCCCTATATAGGATCCGAACCCGCGGCCTCAGCGCTACCGGCGCGGCACTCTCCTGAGTGAGCCACGGGGCCGGCCCAGAATCTTAACTCTCTTTAGCACTGTATTCCTAATGTCTAGATGGTCAAAAACCTAAGTGAACCCGCGGCCTCAGCGCTACCGGCGCGGCACTCTCCTGAGTGAGCCACGGGGCCAGCCCAGAATCTTAACTCTCTTTAGCACTGTATTCCTAATGTCTAGATGGTCAAAAACCTAAGTTAAAACAATGAATAGCTGTGCTTCTGGGCAAGTCATCTAGCTACTCTGTACCAAAGATTTGTAGTTATGGATGGAAGAAAATTCTGTCCTTTCTACTCAGAATTGTGATGCTACAGAAAGCTGGAAAGAACTTTGAAACAAATTTTAGAAAAAGTGAAAAGCCCTTGTCTGCCATTCCTCTGACCCTAAGAATTCCTAGGTAGAAGTATGACTTCAGAGTTCCATGAATGGCCACTCAACACAATGCCCAGCCCACAGGAGATACTTAAACAATAAATGGACTGCCTGTATACACAGGGCAAGAATCCCCCTGCAGTAGATAAATGGCAGGCGTTTTCACATTAACTGCCAACATCAGCTGAGGGGGAGGCAGTAGAGCAGTGTAGTCAGTGTGAGCTCTGGAGTCCTAACCTCACCACTTACCACTGTGTGATGCTAAGCAAGGAACTTCACCTCCTTGAGCTTCGATGTTCTCATTGATAAATGGAGCTAACGCCTATCTACACCATGGGGTACCCAAGAGGATCAGCTGACGGTCATGTAAACCGCTTAGCACAGCAGGTGGAGCAAAGAAATAATCCATAAAGAGTTGTTGTCATTATCAGAAACATACATAACTCAGTTCCTCATTCTTAAATTTACAACTTTAATTTATAATATGAAGTCTGTAATTTCTTGAAATTCTCACCTTGCTCCTGCAGGAAAACAAAAGGGAAAAGTTTTAATTAAGTACTTTTATATTCATTAATTCAAATCCATAATTATTAATGATTGAATAATTATTCAAGCATTTATTGAATGCCTATCATGTGAGTAGTCTTGTAGAGGAAAAAAGCAAAATCACCCTCTCGCAAAGGGTTTACAGTCCAGTATAAAAACAAAACATTAATGCCTGTGTGTGGAAAATTCGTAGGAAGATAGAGATTAGTGTTATCAGGCACGTTAACATGGGGGGAGCAGGAGGCGTGGTAAGGACTGGGACTTCTGACTATCCATAAGCAAAGCCAGAGACAAAATAAGCTGTAAAACACCTCAACTGCCAGTCCTTTGGTGACAATTTATCCCATTCATCTCCTCCCTACAGACCTAAAAACTGCTGTAATTTTCATGCCAATAAGCTACTTCTAATTAAAATTATAATAGCAATGGGAGCACTTAACTATTACTTAATGCTTCCTATTCTACAATTTCCAAGGCATTTTGGAATGATGGCAATTATTAAAGTGCAAAAATTAATTTAAAAACATGTTAAATGAGAATGTCTTAACCCCTAAGGGTTCAGTGGGGAAAGGGAATCCTCCTAGTACCTCCCTTTTAAAAGAAAAACTCCTGACGTCCCTGCTGTCCCTGCAGTAGAAAATGAAAGAGCCATAACCTTTTAGTGTTTAGAGTAATTTCCACACAGTTCCATAGAGCAGCATTCCCATGAGCTGACTCTTTCCATTTCGATGCTGAGGGTAGGACACTATTTTTGCACCTGTACACCATAAGCTCCTTTCCTGTCTTGTTCACCACTGTACTCCTGTGCCTGGCAGAACTGATCTTAACATGTCTTTGATCAGTGGATGGACAAATGAGGTCCTAAAACTGTATCCTAACTTAGAAAAAACGCATTTCCTATAAGGAAGGTGAGACTAATGGGGAGGGCACAGCAAATGTGAAAATACTTGAGGGCCGAGCCCCTGGCGCACTCGGGAGAGTGCGGCGCTGGGAGTGCAGCAGTGCTCCCGCCGCGGGTTCAGATCCTATATAGGGATGGCTGGTGCGCTCACTGGCTGAGCACAGTGCGGCCGGTCTCAAAAAGGACAAAAAAAAAAGAAAATACTTGAGAAATTAGAAGTTAACATGACATGGTTAACTATCCTACATGCTGTCAGAATATGCAGTTTCTCCAAGACCATCACAGGTACGAAGTCAAAGTAAATGTTTCTGACAAAAGGAAAATATGATTTAGAAAAAAAAAATAATTTGGGGCATACCCACTTGTAAAGAGTTGAGTCTACAATTTCAGTCTTCATCATCAGGAGGGATACCTAATTCTTCATCTGTCCACTGGGAAGGATCTGGATATGGAAAGTGACCCTGGTGACAACCGTTTAAAAGAAAAAAAGTCAAGAATCTATACTCCATGCAACCAATTAAATTTTAACAGAAATCTTGGAAGGGAAAAAAAACGTTATACGGTTACCTGCCATATATACAGCTCTTGACACATCACAGCAACAAGTTTTATTTTAACTATTTGATGGCCTAACTGTTCTCAGTCTTTTCATTACGGGCTGTGGTCTGAATTTTAAACGCCTCCCACTTTGTAGGTCCCAGCCTAAGCCAACGGTGTATGTTTGGAATGAAGGGGAGGGGGGAGTGGAGATAACAGATTTTAAAGACACCTCACATCTCAGCAATGTCTTAAAGTCCTGTCAAAATATAAATGTTTCAAACTCTCCTGTCATTACTGCTGTGAGATTTGGGAGCCTCAGGTGGACTTTATCTTCAATCCTGATCTAATGGGCCAGCCTGTGGCTCACTCGGGAGAGTATGGTGCTGATAACACCAAGGCCACGGGTTCGGATCCCATATGGGGATGGCCGGTTTGCTCACTGGCTGAGCGTGGTGCTGACAACACCAAGTCAAGGGTTAAGATCTCCTTACCGGTCATCTTTTAAAAAAAAAAAAAAATCCTGATCTAAGGATTAAGACCTCTGAGGGGTTAAAACATCTGGGTGCATCATCACCACAGGGCCAGGAGCCATATACTCCTGACAACTGACCTACAAGGAAATAGGGGTGTTTTAAATAGTAAATGTGCTGTCAGTTCAGACACCTAAGCAGCTCCTTACTAGGACACAAGCTCACAGAAAAGTTCTAAAAGAAATGGGACACTGAGCAACCTGATACTTCTAAAACTTGTATGCTGTTTAAATTTTAGATTTTATTCCTATCTTGGAAACAAACCCAAATTTACTAAGATTCAAAGTATGTACTCTGGATCAACAAGCACAGATTTCAGTGTCTTAAAGGTGTAATTTCCCAGAGAACAGTCTATGCAAATGTTATAAAAGCTCAGTTGAGGCTTATGACATGTTAGAAAGTCACCAATAACTAACTTCCCTCCTCAAGATAAATTAACTTACATCCATCCCACCCAAATCCGGCTGCCCTGGGCATCTAGACAGACTAGACGACATTCATCACTTACAGGAATTTAAGTGTGAACCTTAACCCACTGATGAACCCTTAGTTTGGAAGGTAAAAGAATTAATTTCTAGTCTCTCTTCCAAATATGGAAACCTAACAGAAATCATAAGACACAGACCTTCTCAAAGTACATCCTCATGTAAAAAAAAAAAGTCAGAAGATAACACATTTTATTAAATAACAGGATTCCTACCACATACACGTGGATAACATGGTGGTGAAGGGATATATCCAAATAGAAAAATGATCTACCAACAGAAAAACAAGCTATCAATATACCCCTACCCAGAAAGGACAAGAACTATCCTCCTGCACTTACCAGCACAAGATCTGAGTCATGCCAAAAGCGCCAGAGAATCCAGAACCACATGGTTGCAGAGTAGACCTCAGCCCGAATCACCTGGGATCGAGTCAGCTGGGGAAACTGTCTATATCGGGGCTCAATGTGCACACCACCACCAGCACTGAAACAGAACAAAAACAGTAAACGGTTCACTACATTTTCAAGGTAGTAAGTCACCCAAACCTCTGAGTTACATCCTAGAAACTAAAATTAATATTTCTCATCTCCACCAAAATATAGACAATAATTGAGGTTCCCTTGAAATACTCATTTTTCATTAAGCTTGCTCTAAACATACGTAGCAGCAAAAACTGGTTCAAACTAACAAGAGGCTAATTATGGTTTCCATTTGGTGGATATTCATTATTTAGCACCAGAAATATGAATGTGTTGATCACAGGGTGCTGGCCCTAAAGGTTTTGGTTAAGGGCTTGTGAACTTGTAGTAGTAGGTCACTAACTTATCCAGGAAAATAAAACAAGTTAATTTTGTTCTGTTTAGCCATCATTTTGGAGTTAAATTATGTCCTCTGCTCTATTACAGTGTTTACTAAAAGACTACCATATGGGAACAGGACTCCCTAATCCTTTTTAATATGCTAGTACCTCTGAACAAGCCAAAGAACCTTAAACGGTTAAGGATGAATAAGTTTTTCTTGTTTTTGTTTTTGTTTTTTTTCATTTAGACACTGTTTACAAGTTGTGGCACACAATCCATGAGAACTACATACTCAATTTATTCAGCTGGATTATAATTATTATAGGTTGAATTTTATTTAAATAATGGAGCTATTTCTAAGTTCTATACAGCAGCTATACATACACTAATATACAGAAATGGACACCAAACTTTAAAGGGAATACCTATATAAGATACATTCACCAATTTCAGTCCAGGTCAGCTTACAAAACCATATTTTCTTTTGTGCAGCACAGGAATGACTACCTGCACCAAAAATGCACTAGAATTTCACATCATCATACTGTGCTATAGATTTGCAAACAGTAATATTTCTATGGTTCTTGATACATGTTACCTACAACTATTTTTATTATCCTCTCCCCTCTAAAAGATTATTAGCAGTTATTATTTATTGAGTGTTTACCATGTGCCAGGTACCATGCTAAGCATTTTATAAGCATTATCTCATTTAGTTTGTATAACAACCTTGTGAGATAGTTCCTATAATTATCAATGCTTTACAAATGAGGACACTGAGGTATTGTTTGATGGCAAAGTCCACACTCTTAAATATTGCCTACAAACAAATACCATTAATAATTTTCTCATTTTATGAATCAAAGACAAAACTCTTAATTAGAATTCCAATCAGCAAGATAAAATCAATGTTACCACAATGAAGTGATAAAATTTTGATTCTTGTGTATTTTTCCAATATATAACACTTCTATGTGGAAGGCTCTATGTAAAATATTAATAATAATTAGTTGTGAATGGCATTGACAAGTGATTTTTATTTTTGCATATGTGTGTATATATATATATACACGTTTGTTGTATCTTTTTTTTTACCGTAACTACATATTACTTTTAAAAGGCTCCATCAAGGCCAGCCCGTGGCTCACTCGGTAGAGTGCGGTGCTGATAACACGAAGGCCCCGGGTTCGGATCCCTATATAGGGATGGCCGGTTTGCTCAGTGGCTGAGCGTGGTGCTGACAACACCAAGCCAAGGGTTGAGATCCCCTTACCGGTCATCTTTAAAAAAATAAATAAATAAATAAATAAATAAAAGGCTCCATCAAGCATCACTGCTTTACAACTTTAATACTGTTTCTGTAATGTCCTCATATACCGATTATATTTAACAGTATTTACTTAGCACCTGTACATACTGAATAAATACCTATCTTTGCACATAGATATTGCATTATATAAATAATGCCACGTGGAATAATTCAATATATTGTAACAAGCTTCCTCTTTAATAGATTTCAGATACAATCTAGGTATAAAAGGGCCTATCAGCAACACTCATTAAAATAAGACTAGAATACTAGGATTATAGTTTAAACCCATGCTGGCAACTCTCCACATTTCCTTATTGCTAAAGTGACGTGTTGTTTTAATTATGATATAAATAGGTGGATCACTGACAACAAGGTGGAATTCTTTTTCAACAAAGATTTGAAAGACAATTATAGGAACGGGAATAGATCACATAACAATTGCCATGATTAAGGAATGCAAAGATTCAACAAACGTCTAACTCACTACATTATGTTCCAGACCAGGCTGTTAACTGCACTGTGGCAAACAAGTGCTCTAAACCACCGTCCAGACTGAAACAACTATGATGCTAGATGAAATTTTTTCTTAATTTTTACAAACATCGTTGACGAGGCACAAAAGGAAGGAATCTATCAAAGGCAATATCCAAGTAAAAAGAAGGCCTGGAAACTAAGCAAGTGCCGAAGCTGGCATTCATCTGGAGTCCTTGACTCTCCACCCAGACAACTACATGAGGTGTGGGGACAGGAGAAGCAGTCTGGGGCCCACCCACGATGAGTATAATTATTAAACTCCTCAATAAAGTTGCAGCCCCATTGTAAAAGGGTGAATGAGAAATAAGCCTGGGGCAGGGAACAGAAATGTGTTACTAGAAGCCAGTCCTCAGGTAAGTTTGCACCCAAGTTCACACTACCTGGGTTGTACCTAAGTGGTCCAAAAACCCCAAGCCGACAATTTATAATGATCCCTGACTGGTGGCGTCCTCAAGAGGCTAAGAGAAGTAAAACTCAAAAAATTCCGACAGATAAAAGTTCCAGGGAAAAGGAGCTCACAGTCGAGAAGACTATTAAGTAAGACACTATGAGTGAGTCCTGTAAGCAGAAAACAGAATAGGGAAGAAACGTTACCCAAAGAAATAATGGCTGGTCCAAGCTAGGATTTTTTTTTTTTTTTTTTTTAAAGATGACCGGTAAGGGGATCTCAACCCTTGGCTTGGTGTTGTCAGCACCACGCTCAGCCAGTGAGCAAACCGGCCATCCCTATATAGGATCCGAACCCGCGGCCTTGGTGTTATCAGCACCGCACTCTCCCGAGTGAGCCACGGGCCGGCCCTCCAAGCTAGGATTTTTTTTTTTTTTTAAAGATGACCGGTAAGGGGATCTCAACCCTTGGCTTGGTGTTGTCAGCACCACGCTCAGCCAGTGAGCAAACCGGCCATCCCTATATAGGATCCGAACCCGCGGCCTTGGTGTTATCAGCACCGCACTCTCCCGAGTGAGCCACGGGCCGGCCCTCCAAGCTAGGATTTTTTTTTTTTTTTAAAGATGACCGGTAAGGGGATCTCAACCCTTGGCTTGGTGTTGTCAGCACCACGCTCAGCCAGTGAGCAAACCGGCCATCCCTATATAGGATCCGAACCCGCGGCCTTGGTGTTATCAGCACCGCACTCTCCCGAGTGAGCCACGGGCCGGCCCTCCAAGCTAGGATTTTTAAGCATCACGCTTAAAGACAAAATGCACCATAACTGTGAAAGTTACATTTTTAAAGCATAAATCAGACCATATTAGTTTCCTGCCTTAAAACATGCAATGGCTCCCCAGGATTCTTAGAACAAAACGCCTACTCCTCCAAGGCCCTCCTCCCTGTGCTTCACCTCCCCCACCCCGACCTCGATCGCGGATCCCGCAGTGCTCAGCTGTCTCCTGTCCCAGAGGCTCTTCCCGGGGTCTGTGCATGGCCGACTTCTCCTCATACAGGTCCTAGTTCAAATCAAACTCGCAGGCATCCCCAGGCAACCCCAGGCACAACAGCCCATCCACCCCTCCGCTCGCACGCTGTGTATTGTCCCTGCTCCAGTCTCTCCACACCCCCGAAGAGCACCTGTTCTTGTTTTCTCCTCTCCAGGCTGTAAGCTGCTTCTGCTTTCTTGCATTCTGCTGTACCCCGGCATGCAGAAGATGCTCGTAGATTCCCAACCACTTCATCATCCCACTGTGAGGTGCGTGCGTGTCACGTCAGTCCAATCCTCGGGCAGGGTCAAGGACCATCGCCGGTGGCTCTCCACCACGGGCTGTGCCCAGGTCACACAGGGCTGCTCCTTCTCCCCTCCCCCATGCCTGCCCCAGCTCCATACTCTTAATAGACGTGTGTCTTCAGACAAGTCACTCCTTTAATTTTCCTGAGCCTCAGTCCCCTAATAACGACCGCTAAATAATACTTGTATGGTCCTTACTAGGCTCCAGCAACTGTTTTAAATACTGTAGAGAAGGGTAATTCATTTGGTTCTCTGGAAATGGACATTATTATCCCCATCAAATGGGTCAGGAAACTGAAGCACTAAGAGATTAAGAAACTTTTCCAAGGTCCTGCAGCTGGGAGTGGCCAAGGTGGGACTTGAACCCTGCCTCTAACGGCCCCCTGCACCGCCTCTTGGTAAAGTGCAGATGGTGCTCTGAGGCGCCGCGCACACCTGGAAAAACCCAGCCTGCTGTTTTCGGCCCTGCCCCGCCCCAGCTCCTTGGGGAAGGCGTGCCTCCCCGGCTCTCCAGCCCTGCGCTCTCCGCCCTGCCTCCCGGGCCGCCTCGCGGGTGACTTCTGCTCGCTCTCCTGAGTTCCGGCGGCGTCCCAGAGTCCACGCCGGCCCTCTCCTCCCTCCCCCACGGCACTCTCTAGGCGACCGCCTCCCGCCTCCACGGCGCGCGCTGGACAGCCCGCTGTGCACCCCGCAGCGGGAG